TAGTTGTTTGTGTACAAAGAACCTCTCACAGCATAGAATATTAGACAGCCAGAGATCTTTGCCGCACTGCTGCCGTGATAACTAATAAAGGAAATCATCCTTGACTAATATCAACCAGTGATTATGAATGATAGAGAATGGATTTTTTGTGGAATGAGCTATAAGGTGTACATCCTTGTAGAACTCTACTTTAGGTAAGCATTTATACGCCCGAGCCAAAAAGTGGTAAAACATTTATAATAAATGTCCATATTTATACATCTCAAATTATAAACAAAAACCCTTTTTTCCCTATTTGACAAGTTTCATTGTTCTCTGCAATGTCTTTCTCTTCAGCTCAAATGTGTGTAAACGTTCTGAGTAACGGTCAATAAATGCTGCTAAGCGTCCTAATCAAAGGTTCAGGTTTCAGAGTTAATGCAGCGATGTCAGCGCTCTCTCTCTTTTTCTCTCTCTCTCTCTTGTACTCTCTCTCTTTCCCTCTCTTTTTCACTTTTGGTTGCTGTCTCACCCGTGTATTATATTTCAGAATTTTCAGTAAGCCTACTACATATACAGATACACATACAGCTCTTCAGTCTTCTCCAGGAACATTGGAGTAATAGTAGAAGTAATTTGACCTGCCAGCCGGATTGTTTAATGTGACAGACAGTAGGAAAGAAACTTATCAGTTTCCTGAATTTCTGCAGCAGCTATTAGAGACTTAATAAAGTTTAGCTTGCCTGCTGCTTCTTCTGGTCATATGTTTATATTGGCCCATGTTCAACGCAGGATTTCACAAATATGCATACCCAGAAGGCACAAAGAGTAACTGATAGCGTGAGGTGTTGGAGGCCCAGCAGATAGTCAGATACCACTTATGACCTGACATAAGGCAGAACCTGTAAAGTCTGGCCCATCTCATAGGGCTCTTATGAAACTACAGTAATTTTCCAGAATATGGATTAAGGGTAAATTATTTTTCATTTGGACTTCAAGAAAACATCTGAAACATTTCCACATTCTTTGGATTGGATCTTATTTTCCTCGTGCAGTTTCAATATAAATACTAGCCATTTGCTTCAGGGTTTTGTTTATTAAATTAATGAGCAGAATTTTTAAAGGTACCAACATGAACAATTACCTTTTTCTCTGTTGCATCACTAATAAGATGTAAAACTGGTTCTACTGTGATTTTCATGCTCTTTTCTGATCAAGGCAATACTGCAGTAATCAAAGGCAACAGAATTACTTTCTTGTTGGAATGAAGGTGGTGATTGAGCCTCCAGATCAATCATTTGTCCTATTTTTAGTGCTTTCTGAAACAGGTTGTCATGTTTAACTTCAGAGGATTCTCCTGTGGAACATATAAATTGGATTATGGGAGCATATGGAATAAATGTGTTTTGTTTTTGATCATTTACATTTTTATTCACTTTACACTTATGAGCAGTTTCAAAACATAGACACAAATTTAAACATTTAGTTTACATTTGTTCACATTCATTTCAGTATATTGTACATATTATAGTAACAATATGGCACAAGTTAGGTGGAGTACTATACTCTATTTGTAACCGACCAGGCAGCGGTATAGTCTATGCTCATTGAGGCATATTACTCCAGAGTCCAGACCATGTCTCGTGGGGTTTTCTTCTCCTGTCGTCTTTGCTCTTTGTCCTCCAGTCTATACAGCAGGGATTTGTAAATGAAATCTCCACCATGGCAACTGTCCATTCTTTCACCTAGTGATCAGGGGTTGATTTCCAATGTTCAAAATTATCCTGGAGGTTGTACCATGTCCGACTATGTTCTCAAAAACTTTCTTTTAGGTACATTTGTTGAATAAGCACATTTCTTCATAAAATATTAACACACTGATGATTTAGAATCTTACTGCAGAGAGCCATAAGTTTATGAGACATCAAATATTCTCAACTACCAAATATCCAAACTTAGATAAATGGAATTCCCACTTAAATTTGAAAAGTTTGACCCCATGACCTTCATGCCCTGTTGTACCTTCGCCACTCAGATAGGAAGATGTGTCATTTACTCTTCTTATTCAAGTCTGTTCCTGCAGCCTTCCTGCCCACTCAGCCTGCCTCTCTCCTTTCAGACCACACTGATGATTAACTGCTCTTCTTGTCACTCGCCCACACGCTTGTCCTAATTTTGTCCCAGCGGCAGGACGGCAGCGTGTTTGCTGTCATGCCCTCCATGTGGACCTTTGAAGAGAGAAATTGATGAATGCTTCATTAGAGGTTCTCACACAAACAGTAATAACAAATTTCCTGTTAGGAGGTAAATGACCCTCTGCAAAAAAATAAAAAATATTTGTAAATTCTCCTTTTCACTTTCAAATGGGCCCAAAACAGATAACTTGGGAAGATTTTAGTTTGAAATACTTTGATATAAAGCAGTTTTTAGAAACCCCTTTACACACACACTGATCTCTGGCAGGGGTCCAGGCCTCGGGATCACAGACAGTACTATGAGTTGTTGCCTTAGATTCCTTTCTTGCTGCACTGGCAGGCTTTGACTTACCAGAAGGCATCTTGTCTAACTTAACTTCATTGCTGTAATAGATCAGCTCACTCATTCAATTAGCATACACTCTCACACTGGTGGATCTGCACTGTCACCCATCAGAAATCTATGGCTGCTCAAACCAATTGCTGAAAAGTAAGCTCACTCACTAAGAGTCCCTGCGATGGGGTTGTCAGATCAATATGGACCTCTGGGTCTGCAGAACCATTTGCTCCATCTTGCAGAGAAAATGTGCAGAAATAAGATAAAGCTAGATCAATGATTCTTCACAGCAATGAACGTTAAGAAGAACTAAAGATAAAGTGTAACAAACTTGACAAGAGCTAAATGAAAATGAACATTCAACACTCATGCATAAATCTGGCTGGTGAGTTAAAGTTGTCTTGGTGTTATCGAGCCGCTGTAGCAAAATACTCAGTTAAAAATATAACGTGATGCATTTAGCAAAGGAATAAATTATTCCTACAATATTTTATGCAATCTGACCCATCAGAAAACACCTCAGTGTCTGTTTGACTGCTGTCGTTTTCGACTTTGATCTGGTACAACTGAACGTTAAGATTGGACTGGGAAAGTTCTATATCTAAGAGCAGAAATACTTTCCTCTCACTAGGAGTGTGTATCATAAAACACTGAATATAAACATTCAAAAGCTGTGAGCAGGCTAATGTAACATACGGTGAGGGAACACTGGCCTGCATGTAATAAAAAGCAACTGGTTTAAAATTTTTAAATTTTCATTCATGAGTAAAAATGTTGAATTAGATTTTTTGCCAAGTAAATTATTTTTCCAAATTCCTTCTCTATATTCTAAAGCATTTATTACAGTGTTGATAATGCTGGAAGTGTCGTGAACAACATGAAAAGTAATACATGGAGTGTTTATTGAATGCAGATTCTTCTAAAGTTCTAATAAATGGAGGATATGAAATGTGAAAATAACCTTCATACTTTCGATGACAAATCTTGGCCATTTTACTGCAGTTATTCACACATAGTAGAGAAAAAAGAACATCAACCTTTTTATAAGAATTAAGCTAATTCTGTATCTGAGCTGTACATGATCCGACAGCAGATTTAATTTTCCCCAAAAATATGGATTTTATGCATATACCTTCTTGGCATAAAACATGGAAACCTTCGTATAAATTTCATCCAGTCACTTTTTGATCATTATCTGTTTTTTCCACTCACTTTTCTTCAAGCCCAAACCATATTGTGAGTTCAGTGATGCCATCCCACAGTGAAGTTTCAAATGAAGCCTGTAAGTGCTGCTGCTGCCTGTGACTCTGAACCATTGTGTAAAAATACCACTGACATGTTTTCAGAAAGAAATTAAGTGGAATGCTTTCAGTTTGACATGGGTCAAACTGAAAGTTCAGATACATCAAAATGGTACGCAATCATTACACTTTGTAACTGTAAAAGACACGTCAAGAAAAAATGGAAACTCATGAGCCTGGAGGAATCCCTCAGGCTGTCTCTGCATGGTGGAGTCCTGTACCTTTGTATCTTTGGCTTTTTCAGATGTGTTCTGTTCTGTTCTGCTCTGCTCTGTTCTTCTCTGGGAGCATTTTGTTGGGAGGAGGTCTGCAAACCAGCTCAGGGCTCCTCTTTTATTCTGCGGCCCTCTCTTTACTCTGACAGATCCGCGCTGATATCAGATTGATGGGCCGGTTTGATTGAAGCCTCTTTGTCGTGCTAATGCCACGCAGAGTGATGGATGAGGCGTGTGCGCCAGAACCAACGCGCGCGCACATAAACTCCACTTTTTCTGAGAATCCCGACCTTCTGTACTTCCCCCGCCACGCACGAGCACACACACGCGCGCGGGCGCGCACACACGCACACACACACCAACGAATACTGTTTCTCTCGCTAGTGTGGCCAGCTGACAACTTCTGCCCTGGTCACCATAGGCGACATGTCACGTGACCCCCCGACAGAGGTAGAAGAGAAGAAAAGAAGTGGGAAAACATGTAACACAAAGGAGAGGAAGACAGAGAATAGAAGAAGAGGAAAAGTAGAGCAGCAGAAGGAAAAAGTAAAAATGGAGCAGAATTGAGGGAAAGCGAGGAAAGAGGCGTCTCAAGTCTTGCGCGTCTTCTCGCGTTGTTCTGTGCGGGCACCGACGAGCTTCAGGAAACTGCAGGTTGAGTGACAGCAGGGCCCTCCGTTCACGCATCAACGGCCTGAAGCGCAGCAGACCAGAGGACATGATTCATGTGTGACTCGGCTGTTTGGGGTGTGATGGTTTCGCTTTTTCAGCTGGTTTCAGCTCATTTATTTGGCCTCTCTTTTTCCCAACTGTTCCGTATATTTTCTTTATTATGATGATGACATTTGAAAACATTTTTATTGTCTGATTTGATTCCCCCTCCTCCCACCCCGTTTTTTTAGACATAGTTTTTATTTCCGCCTTTCGTTGGCTCGTTCTTGCTTAAGGAGAACTTTCAGTTTCACGGGTCTTCATGGACAACATGAACTCCTTTGTGGAATACTCTATTTGTAACCGACCAGGCAGCGGATCTTATCCTGCCCCTAAACCTGGATATCATCATCATCATCTGCATCACCACCACCTTCCTCTGGATCAGCACCATGGCCTCTCAGTGACCCCCGGGTCCCTCCACACGGGCCTCAGCGGCTCCTCTGTCCCGGTGAACGGGGCCGGCGGTGACAGCGGGTACAGCGCAGACGGAGGGGTGTACGGAAACACCGCAGCGGACATTGGAGGAGCGCACGAGACCGGAGGAGTGGGCCAGCATCATCATCAGCATCCAATAAATCATCTGGAGCATCAACAGCACACACACAACGGCTTCCAACATCACCAGAACCAAAGCTCTCAGAGTGGATTATTGACTCAGTATACAAATGGCAGTGGATGCACATCCGGGGCCTACGCAGGTCAGGCGTGTGTTACAAACTCAGAGTATGTAGCCATCACGGGTCCTCCCAGCTCCGTCCAGCCTCAGTATTTTCTGGAGGAGTCGGTGGCCTCCACTTACTACCATCAATCAGCCTTTCCAACTTCCACCCCAGCTGTCGGTCCCAGCTACAGCGCTCTTCCGGGGTCGTATTGCGGGCCGCAGGGCCCTCTTGCCAGCTCTCAGTACCCGCAGCAGATTGGCGGGGGTCTGGAAACAGTGGCTTACCTGGGGCTGCCGCAAGCAGGAGGATATGGAGAACTGGCGGCATCCCAGGACCGAGGGAGGGAAGAAGAGGGCAGTCAGCAGTCGGGACAGGGGCAAACCTTTGACTGGATGAAGGTGAAGAGGAATCCCCCGAAAACAGGCGGTGAGTTATTTATTTATTTATTTATTTATTTATTTATTTATTTATTTATTTATTTATTTATTTATTTACGAATAAATAAATGTTTATTTAGCGGGTAAAACAATGTATAGATAGATAGATAGATAGATAGATAGATAGATAGATAGATAGATAGATAGATAGATAGATAGATAGATAGATAGATAGATAGATAGATAGATAGATAGATAGATAGATAGATAGATAGATAGATAGATAGATAGATAGATAGATAGATAGATAGATAGATAGATAGATAGATAGATAAGTTTTGAGATTTTTCACAGGAAGAAAAAAAACAGGTTTGGTGGCACGGCGTTGGCTCGACATCTGATCACTCTGCTGCTCTCTCTTTCTCTCTCTCTCTCTTTCAAATTGATCTACCAGACGGGTTATTTCTCCACAGGAAGTCCTGCTATTATCTGTTTAAACAAAGTGTCCTGCCTCAGCTCCCCATGCCCGGCTGTTCTGGCTTTTTAATTACATGTCTATACTTTTCATACAACTTGGAATTAGGATAAAAATCCCCGAACACTTGGATGAAAAATAAATCCAGATTAATTCAGGCAAATGTTGGAAGTCCAACCAGATATTTATTAAATGTTGATTATTTGAATAGGATTGTGAAATGACTCAAATCAGACACGAGAGATCGAGAATTTATGCAAATGGATAATTTATCTATTTAAATTTTTTATACGTGCTATTTAAATTAATATTCATGAAATAAAGTAAGCCAATTAAAAATGTGACATATTGTTCCCTTGTTCTCAGTCAAAGTGTCGGACTTTGGTCTCACTGGAGTTCACAACAACGCCATGCGAACCAACTTCAGCACGCGGCAGCTGACGGAGCTGGAGAAGGAGTTCCACTTCAGCAAGTACCTGACGCGGGCGCGGCGCGTGGAGATCGCCGCCACCCTGGAACTGAACGAGACCCAGGTGAAGATCTGGTTCCAGAATAGACGGATGAAGCAGAAGAAACGCGAGCGGGAAGGAGCGGGCACTGCTGCGCGCGCCTACTCCTCTGAGACCCGCGGCGGGTTTGTGAAGGACTTGGAGGACACGGACCACTCTTCTGTATCCACCTCTCCGGGAGCGTCGCCGAGCTCCGAGACGTAGACTGAGCGTCACTGGAGACCAACACTTTTTATTACTGTGATCCAGAAATACATTTCCGTTCTCCACACTTGCACCGACCCTCTGTTTGTTTGGTTTTTTATTATTAATTTTGCTCTTTTCCTCCATCAGTTGTCTATGCACTACACATACTTTCTTGGATTCTGCGCATCTTATTTTATTACATTTTTGCCAAACAGTTTACATTAATCAATACATTTGTGTCTGAAATCTGCTTTTATGATTTTTTTCATCACTTAATTTTTATTAATAGCAAAACAACAACAATAATAAAAGAGATCTAGCTCACCCGCATGTGTTTGTCCAGGTATCCAAAACTTGACAATAGTGACAAAAGGGTGACATTTTTTTAAAAATCTGCAAATGTGAACAATATTTTTTAATTCTTAGCTTTCCAGAATTTTCCGAGACTAACCCTAAAGATTTCAGTGACGATTTGCAAAGATGTTTTCTCAATTTAGCAAAATGTTTTGATCTGATGAAAATCCTTCACAACTTGAGAATCCTCAGAATGAACTCTTTAAATGTTCAATTCACATCTGTAACCAGCTTTGCCCACGTCGACCATTGTTGGCCTTAGAAAGCAGAAATATGTATGTAAACATAATATTTTAATGTACTGATTTTATTTTATTTTATTTTATTTTAGGTGAGAGCAGTTTTATTAGTATTATCGCCTTAAACAGACTTCCAATCATGTCCTGTTTTCTACGTAAAACTACCTCAAATAAATCTCTTCTGTCAATCCTTTGAGGGTGGATTCTTTCTTTTGCTTTTATAAGCAATTAGAAGTGATAATGTGTAGAATTGCAACGTTTTCTGGGTCACTGGGTTGATTAGCTATCCCACAATTTGAGTGCAACTTAACCGCATGTAGAATTCCTATTATTCTACACTGAAATAAAATAAGCTTACTCAAAGAATTTATGCAAACAGCTAAAAACAAAATAAAGTTTTCAAAACAAGAAATGTTAGTGTGTGAAATCTGTACTGACTCACATTTAGAACTGGCTCAAGGCATAAATGAACTAAGCAGCTGCTTAAGGCTGCCAGGCCTTCAGGAACTCCATGAATGCTAACATTTTAGCACAGACCACAGATACAGAAATGTAACTTTTGTTCATTGAAAATGTTAATATTGTTAAATTTGATTTAATGGTTTCAACACAGGTGAAAGACTGTTAGTGGTGCTGATGTTCTTACCAGCAAGAAGGGCCCCAAGTCAAATTCTGCTCAAGGCCTCATTCAACATTAGACCAGCCCTGCATGAAGGTTTTTTCTTTTGGCTCTAAGCGCAGCAACTCTGCCTGACTGTAGATAGAGAAAGTATTTGACATGGTGCAGTTTGATGCATTGTGTTGCAGCAAAAACTGAACTGTTCAAGCATCTTTTCATCCCAGATCTGTCTCTACAAAATATTTCTCTCTCTCTCTCTCTCTCTCTCTCTCTCTCTCTCTCTCTCTCTCTCTCTCTCTCTCTCTCTCTCTCTCTCTCTCTCTCTCTCTCTCTCTCTCTCTCTCTCTCTCTCTCTCTCTCTTTGTCTCTCTCTCTCTCTCTTTCTCTCTCTCTGTTTCAATCCATCCATTCAGTAAATGTCCATGGATCTGGAAACCGATTGCCTCTTGTTGAAGGTAATTTTTTAAAGTCGGTTTCACAGTCTTTTGCAGATAATGCACTTTTGCCACAAAGTGCATCCATCTTTGTTTATAAGCACAGAATGGGTCTATGAGTCAAATATGCTTTCACTTTCACCTGGAAGGTTCCATGGCCAAACCCTGATAAGCTGGGAATGGAAAACAAGCAATGAAAAACAACACAGACACTACAACCCCTAAAATACGCCTTAGACATTATTGTAAGATTAATGTGCAGTATGTTACTTTATTTATACTCCAACAACATAGGGTAGCCTGTAGGTGTTTTTTTCTGCTTGTTCGTTGAACATTAACTTGATTTCTGTAGCAGATCATTAAAAAAACATTTGGATGAATTTTAAATTTTACTTGTTCAGCACATTTTGATTGATAAACAAAAAGTAAAGACAATCTTGTGAAAAAATGATAGGCAGAAATGATCCATAAATAATCCAGTCTGGATTTACATTTTAGACGTAAAGTCAACTTAACCAAAAATGAGTCAATGTAAGAAAGTTGAAATATTAATCATGTCTTGAAGTTTGTGCTGCACTTAAAACAATTGAGTTATTACTTCAAAAATTAATTTCTCAGTGTAATTAATTGTTAGACATGATGTTTTCCAAAAATAACTTATTTCTACTTATTTTTGTTATTAAGATGTCCTATTGGGTTTCACCATGTATGTTGAACTAATTGTCCTTATTAATTTGTACTTAAAAGGGAGTTTGTGGGAGTATGGTTAAATATATCTGTGTTACCCTGCAAAGGATCAGCCCAGTATCACGCGGAAAAAAGAAGGGATAGACAACAGTTGTACATAAAAAGGATAAGTAGTTATCCGGAACTGTGGCCTTGGAGCAGAAAGGACGTGGTTTGAATCCCAGCCGGCGTTTTCTGGTTGGAATCTGCATCTGGTGACCTTTAGAGACCCTCTAGGATATCCAAACATGTAAACAGACTCTACCTCCTGCTCCTCTTCATACCCTCGTGGTCCAAGGATGCCTGTCCTGAAGCCTGGGTGGCGAGCTCAATCGTCACCTCATCACCCTCTCTCTCCAAAATACACACAGTGACATACACAAACACTAGCATTTGTTAAGTCTTTCGAAATTACTTTAAGATTAAACCATTTTAGAATCAAGTAAAATTAAACTTTCTACACTGTAAATGCAAAATTGTACTTAAATGGAATTAGTAAACTGACTTCAATCAGTTTTCAGAAAATTATTATTAACACTTATTTTGAGTAAGTTATTTGGAATTTGTAGTTGAAAACCTCATTCTATTGAGTTGTATTAATTTGGAAAAAGTAAGTTTTGATAATTGTGTTTTTTTTCAAGTGCTTTTGCTCAATACTGCATCCATCCATCCAAGTACAAATGCTTTGCTTGAAGGTTTTCTTTTTTTTTCTTGAGCCAGTGCCTCTGCTAAGCATTTGCAAACGTTCATCAACACTGGACTGAGAAACATATAATAATAATAACAATAACAATAATAATAATAATAATGATAATGAGCTTCGGATATGCACAGTTCCACCAGGTGTTTGAGAATTGTTAGTGCTGCTAGTTTGAAGGAGCCTAGAAGGGGAATTGCAGGGGGGGGTGGTAGGCTGGGGGATCCACCATGCAAAAATTGGCTTGACTTGGAAACTGCAGCTCCAAAGGCGAGCTAGACCTGGAAGGTGGTGCTTCGTCCCCCTAAGTTTTTTGTCAAGCCGAATGGTATGTTGTTGACGATAAAAGCTCAAAATAGTCACTGTCTGTTTCTACGTATCTTTGGTATTGGAGAGCAGACTTCTTGTCTGATCACTCCCAGATGGTCAGAGCATTACATGCTTGGGTGTTTTTTTTTATTTCCCCTTTCCTTTCTTCAAATGCTTAAAGTGTTTCAAAATCAAATGTGAGAATTTTCTGCAGTCAGGTTGCAGGTATTTGCTTGGCAAATAGCTAGACTGTGAATACATAGACGTGGTCTTTTAAATCAAAGAACCAAACACCGTCTAGTATCACATGCAGCACGATTTCATCAGTAGCAAAACTGTAGTACTTCTGCAGGTCAAGACAAGAAGGCAGATTTATTTTTGTAATCTTGACAAAAACCACACATCTCAAACCAGTCTTGACCCAGTTTGTCGAATGAGACCAAAATCGAGATAAAACAATCCAAGATCCACCTCAAGACTGAGAGAAAAAGAGAAAAAGAATGAGATCAAAATCAATCTTTAGCATTCCATTTCTGCTTTACATATGGTACCATTCAACAAGTAGTTTCCTATTGAAAGATTGCTGCTGCAAATAACACACAACTACAAGTTAAAGTTTAAAGTACTAAAAGAGATATGCCAGAGTTACCAATCATTTTACAAAACTACTTGTTAACATCAGCAAATCTGACATTTTTTTCAATGTTTTATAACACTGACAAAAATTAGTAATGAGAAAAAAATGTTAAAACCCAACGTAAGCCTTTCTGCAGTTTTAAAAAATGTCCTTGTCAGCGAGCCGCCCTTTTGAGGTCAGAGGTCAGGCAGAGAACAGTGTGCAGAACATTATCAGGTCAGACTTTCCAGCTCATCTTGTGCTTGAAGTGAAGAACTGAAACATGTTTTAAAACCCATGAAGTAAAACACAAGAAATAAAGTACAAACAAAAGTTACATGATGTTGGCAAATGGATTTATCTTAACACACCACAAGCATTTAAAGTTTCTTAACCTAATGTAAAATTCTTTATTTCTTGTCACATAATCTAATAGTTATTCATTCTTTTATAAACCCTTATCTTGTAAGGGAATGGCTCCTCTAGAGTTTGTGTAGATTATGTCATAAAATTACTTGATTGTACTTAAAAACAGATTGTGCAGGGTAAAAACCTTGTTTCCTGTTATGGTTGTCAGAGACAGACTATGTATGCCTTCCGGACTGGGACAAGCTTGCGATACCCCAGAATTAGCGTCAGTGTGTTTCTGAGGCGTGTCAGTCGTAGGTCTGTTACCCCAGTGACCTGATCTTGGATTAGCAGAAGAAAACGAATGGGTATATGGATTTCAGAACTGATCCAACATTAAATATGCTTGAGGGTTGTTGTGGAGGGCAAAGTTTTGTTTGAATTCACACACACGCATGCTCACACCCACACACACACGCATGCATACACACACCCAGAAAGAGAGAGAGAGAGATGGTGCTGAAAGAATGAAGCACAATAGTTTGTTTATCTCAAACCAACAGAGCAAGCAGACCCCTGAGTGTGTGTGGGGAGGGCACAGAGGACATGAGGTCAGAGGATGCATCACACCAGCAGAGACAAACAGTCATAGATGTTCAGGCTTGTCTGCCACATTAACGTACATCCTTACCATCTGAATGAAGTTGGCCCCTACACCTTATTCAAATCTTACAAAATGGGTGTCAAATGTTTGTGCTCAGTTTGTGCTGGCTGGTGCAGTAAAATGTGTTGCTGTGTTGCTATTATTGTTAAGATATTTAAAAAGCTTCCAGAGGTTATCAGAGATCATCATCTATATCTTCAAAGCAAAAGCAACAATAACAAAAAATTTTGCACCTCAAACCAGCAATAGTCGGGTGAATTGGCATCATAATTTAATAGTCGCTGGTTAATTGTAGATGCCTGAATCATCCAGGAGTCATGGACAGTGCCAGCCTATTTTGTCTTCATGTTGCTGAAGATGCAATCAGCATCACAGACCATCGGAAGCAACATGATTTGTTAAGGCACATATTAAGTGTTTGTAGTTGGCAGCATGTAAATCCTGAATATAAGTGTCAGGTAAGTGTAACTCACTTACCTGTGTGATGATGCTATGAAAGGATTTTCTGTCAACAAAATCACCTTCATCCCACCTCCAGGAAGGAAAGCTCCATCTCACTCTGCCAGACGTACTCAGCAGACCCTCATAAAACTTTTGGGCCTGGCAGGTCTGACCGGCATCCACTACCAGAGTCAACTCACCACCAGGTAGTGGTCAGTGGACAGTTCTGCACTGCTATTCACCCGAGTGTCCAAGACATTTGGCCACAGATCAGATCATATGACTGCAAAGTGGATCATGGAACTGCAGGGTGTCCCGGTTCCAAGAGCACAAA